ATCTAGAGCAGCCAAAGCAAGCAGAGGTCCCTGCAAAACCCAGGAAACGCTGAGCCCATCGGCCTGGCCAAGCATCATGCAACTCCCAGCTTATCTATGTCTCTGTGGGGAGCGGGGAGAGGTCACTCTCAGGGCACCCTGAGGAAGGTGCATCGGGCTGGAGCCAGGAGACCACAGGGTCTTGTCTTCAATCTTCCACTGACCACTACAGAAGAACCTCAGAGTTATGAACTGACCAACCAACCACACCCCTCATTTGGAACTGGAAGTGAGCAATCAGACAGCAGCAGAGATAACTTAAAAACACAATCAAATACAGAACAGTTCTGTGTTAAACATAAACTGCTAAACAAATAAAGGGAAAGTTTAAAAAGAAAGATTTGACAAGGGAAGGAAACTGTTTCTGTGCTTGTTTCATTTCAATTAAGCTGGTTAAAAACAGCATTTTTCTTCGGCATAGCTAAGTTTCAAAGCTGTACTAAGTCCATGTTCAGTTGCATGAAGTTAATGTTCAGTTGTAAACTTTTGAAAGACCAGTGTGATGAAGTGGGGGATTTTCTTGTTTTTTCTTCGGTTTTCCAAAGGTTTGCATGCAGAGGGGGTGGGACTCAGTTTCCCAGAGTGTTACTGGTTTAACAAGGTGATGGGAGAGGGAGTTTGTTGTTACAGAGGACCAGCGACGGAACTTGGGACCCCAGCCAATGGCCTGGAGAATGGATACCCCAGCGACTGGGGACCTGGTGCCCAGGTCAGGAGTCACAGCCAGTTCTGGCCAGGGGGAGGACAATGGGCTGTGAAGAGAGGACCCTGGTGACCTGACCAGCCGGTTCCAGCCAGAGGGGCCAGAGGACAGAAGAGAGGAGAGGAGACCCCGGTTTACGACCCTGTTTACCTGGAGAGCAGACAATGGACAGAGGCGGGGCTTGGGACTGGGGATCTCAGATGCCCTGCTGGGAAGCAGGGGGGCTCTGGGCTGGAGAGGGGGAGCAGGCAGAGCCCACCTGGATGCAGGGGAGACTTGGATGTGCTGTGCTGAGGGAGGCCAGGCCTGAGGCCCTGAGAGTTTCCTGTGCTGTGTTCAGATGCTCAATAAACCCTCCTGTTTTACGCTGGCTGAGAATCGCTCTGGTCTAGAGAACAGGGTTCCATTATTCCCTCTGGGAGTGAAGGCCCTGGGGGTCCAGAGCAAGTGAACTCCCAGAGGGGGGCATGGCCAGAGACAGGCGTGCTAAGGCTCAGAGAGGAGCAGCTCCATGAGGTGGAGGGGCCTGACCCTGAGAGAGAGTGGGCTCCCAAGAAGGGCTGTCTCACTGAAGGGAGTTCCCTCCAGGGACCGTACAGGGCCAAGAGTGGGCACCACCTGTGAGTCTGTGACAGCCAGGGCCCGCCGCTCCTTATTCAGCCTCTAGTGCCAGCCTCTCCTTTCCTGTCCAGTTCAGACACAGTGCACCCCCGGCCCATGCTCCCTCCCCCCAATAGCAACCCGTCCAGCCCCCTGCCATCCCCACCCCATGCACTGCTTGTGCCCAGATTGCTGGGTCACACCCACCCATGCTGCCCCTCCCTGATCCCAGCCAGGATTGGCAAGAGCCTGGGTCCAAAGGTGCCCTGGGAGGCTGGGAACTAGCTGCTGAGAGAAAAAAAGGGGGGGGGGGTGTCCAGCCTTCAAAACAGAACCCAGGAGTCCTGGCTCCTAGCCTCCCACTCGGACTTGGAGAGTTGAAGTTAGGGAGGAGTGAGGGGCACCGGCGGGGCTGGGGGGGGGGGGGAGGCGGGGGCGGGGGGGGGGGGGGGGGGGGGACCGGGGGGGGGGGGGGGGGGGGGGCTGGCAGGGGCTGCAGGTCGGGAGTGAGGGGCACCGACGGGGCTGGGGGGCTGCGCCCCTCACCCTCCGGCCGGGGTCTTTCCAGGCTCTGTCTGTGTCCCGTTCCCACGGTCCCGCCCCACAGGGCCCACGTGGGTCCCACTGCCAGCCCCACACAATGGGGCCTTGTGTGAATCTGGATCACTGCTGGAGGGGGAGTTTGGGGGGATTCCCTCCCCATTCCCCTCTCCCAGGGCAGCCCCAGCTGGAGCCGGCCCCTGCACTGGTCAATGATGTGGGCGGGGGGATCCCGCAGGGGGCCTGCCCCCCTAGGGGGTCCGGTGAGAACAGCTGGTGCCTCCCCCGGGAGCCCGCGTGCATGTGTCCGTCCAGCCCTGCCCCCTGCTGGTGTCTGTGTGTGTCCTGCCCCCTGGTGGTGTGTGTGTGTGTCCAGCCCCCTGCTGGTTTGTGTGTCCAGCCCTGCCCCCTGCTGGTGTGTGTGTGTGTGTGTGTGTGTGTGTGCCCTGCCCCATGCTGGTGTGTGTGTCCTGCTCCCTGCTGGCTGCCCCCAGCCCAGGGCAGCATGAGACGCTCCTCCGCGCTCAGGTGATGGGAAGGAGGGTGGAGCCCTGATACTTTGCAGCTGGTCCCGGGAGCTCCCTGCGCGCTCCCGGCACCGACCCGACTGGAAATTGGTGGATGTCCCCCGAGCCGGGGCTGTTCTGTCACACTGGCCAGCCGGGCATTTCCAGCCCCTTGGCAGCGCTTGGCTTCTTGCTTAATCCCCCCCCCCCCCCCCCCCGGGTGACAGCAGGGTTTATTTTTGGGCATTTCCCCTGTTGCGCTGCTGGAGAGGTGCTGAGAGGGGCCAGGGCAGAGGTTCCGTGTTGAGTGAAGGGACCAGAGTGGCACAAAATGATGTGGTTTAAGGATTTTCCTCTATTTTTATCCATTGAAATATTGAGAGATGTGCAAAATTATGGGGGGTGGTGTCAGGCCATGGCGAGGTCGGATGATAATTATGACATGACAGCAGATGGGGAGATGCAGGAGGTTATGAACATTAGAACGGCCAGACTGAGTCAGACCAAAGGTCCATCCAGTCCAGTATCCCGTCTCCCGACAGTGGCCAACACCAGGTGCCCCAGAGGGAATGAACAGAACAGGGAATCATCATGTGATCCATCCCCTGTCGCCCATTCCCAGCTTCTGGCAAACAGAGGCTACGGACACCATCCCTGCCCATCCTGGCTAATAGCCATTGATGGACCTATCCTCCATGAACTTATCTAGTTCTTTTTTAGAACCCTGTTATAATCTTGGCCTTCACAACATCCTCTGGCAAGGAGTTCCACAGGTTAATTGTGCGTTGGGTGAAGAAATACTTCCTGTTGTTTGTTTGAAACCTGCTGCCTATTCATTTCACTGGGTGATCCCTAGTTCTTGTGTTATGAGAAGGAGTAAAATAACACTTCCTGATTTAGTTTCTCCACACCAGTCATGATTTTATAGACCTCTGTCGTATCCCCCCTTAGTCATCTCTTTTCCAAGCTGTTTGAAAGTCAACAGAGGTGCTGCACTTAGGGAAGAAAAACCAAATGCACAAGCACTGGATGGGGGCTCACTGGCTTGGCAGCAGCACTGCTGAGACGGATCTGGGAGCTGTGGTGGATCATCACACCCTCAACATGAGTCAGCAACGCGATGTTGTTGCAAAACAAAAGCAAATGCAATGTTCGGCTGCATTAAGAGAGGTGCAGCGTGCAAGTCACGGGCGGTGAGAGTACCGCTCTGCTCGGCGCTGGGCAGGCCGGGAGTGCTGTGTCCAGTTCTGGTCACCGCTGTGTAGAAAGGATGTGGAGAAACTGGAAAAGGATCCAGAGGCGAGCGACAAAGGCGTCACCTCACCTAGGGCGCCCCCCTCGGGCGGCTGAAATAGACCTCAGCCAGGATCAGCCCCAGGACGAGCAGGACCACGGCACCCAGCCCCAGGCGGGCGATGTTGGCGTGGGTGAAATCCGGGCACCCCGGGGGGGCTGCTGTGGGGGGAAGGGGAGAGTCACTCGGTGGCTTGGACGGGGAGATCAGCAGCTGGTGCTGCCCCGGGAGCGGAGCCCCCGACCTCCCCAACTTGCAGGTCTGGCTCTGGGGCCTCAGCTTCCCCAACAAAGTGGTTGCCCAGGTGGATGAACAGCCCCTGCCCTGAGGCCCCCCTCACTCTCTCATTTTCACCGGGCTGGGGCAGGGGGTTGGGGTGCACCAGGGTCCCTTTGCAACCGGGTGTTCGGGTCAAAAACCAGACACCTGGCAACCCGAGCCCCAGGTCCCCCCGGCACCCAGCTGGTCCCATCCCCAGAGCCAGGCCCCCTAGATCCTGTCCCTCTCCTGGGATCCCCCAGTAGCTTCCAGGAAGTAACCTACAGGGCAGGAGGTGCCGGAGGTGAGGGTCTGGTGGTGGGGGAGGGGCAGGGGCTGCCCCTCCCCCTGGTGTCTGGGCTCATGCACCAAGAGTCACTGCCCCCATCCCGCCCAACCAGCCCCAACCCCCGGGGGAGGCTCCTTGAGCAGCATGAGCCTTCCAGGGCTGGGTCGATGGTGATTCCCCCTCTGGCCCCGGTACCTGTCCATGCGCTGCCTTCCCCGCCCGCCCCAGCCCTGGGCAGATCCAGGGGCCCCCTGGGCAGATTCTCTCCCAGATCCCAGAGTTCCCCACACCCAGAATCCTGGCCCTGCGAGCTGGGCTCCCAGCCCCACAGACACCAAGCCGCGGCTCCCTAGTTCTTGTGATCCTCATATGTCGTGTGTGGCCCCTGCCTCGTTCACTGCGTCCGGCCTGCCCTGCACAGAGCGACTCACGGGCTGGTCTCTGGCGCCTGGAAAGTGTGTTGAAAAGGGAACCTGGCAGGGACACTGTCTGAGTCCCTGCAGTACCCAGCCTCTGCCACCAGGGGGCGGGAAGAGCAGCAGCTGCTGGAGCCTGGAGGAGCAGTGGAGCTACTCAGCAGGGGCCCTGCCCCACTCACCCCCCCACCCCCGAGAGTGGGTCTCCCTACCCCACCCTGCCACACTCACCCCCACCCCTACCCCTAGAGCCCTGATCACCTGGCAGGGGGAGGGTGGTGGAGAGAGCAGCAAGTGACGGGGGGGGGGAGGAAGAGGAGCAGGGGGCGGGGCCTCAGGGAAGAGGCGGAGCAGGGGGTGGAGGAAGTTCCGGTGCTCAGTGTCTGGTTTTCACAAATTAGAAAGTTGGCCACCCGAGCAGGGCCTGAGCCCCCCACAGGAAGGGATTCACCCACTGGGAGGCGGGGAGGGGTCATTATCCCCATTCTACAGGGGGGGAAACTGAGGCACAGACAGATTCACTTTCCTAAGTGAGCTCCCAGGGGCAGGGACTGTCTCTTCACTCTGTGTTTATGCAGTGCTATTGAGACAGCCTTTGCAGAGGTCTCCACTAACTGTGGGCGTCTCGGTTGTGGGCGCTCGGCCTGAGATCCCCCAAAGATTGAGGCCCCCCGCAAGAAAGGACATTTTTGAAAACTGTGACATGTTCCCATCACACAGTCTGTGGCCGCACCAGGAGCTGGGCCAGATCTTCTAGGTCCCAGCCCAGCACCGTGTCCACCAAGCCACCACTTCTCCTGAAGCCCCTGCCTCATTCAGCTCCTGCTGGGGCCATGCCTGGGGCGGACGCTGGAGAACAGAGGGGAGGGGATCACGGGATTAAATAGTGACTCATGGTTTATACAAACTGGGGACAGTGTTAAAGTAGCTTCCAGGGCTGCTGCTCCCCCCTGGCTGGGGAACCCCCCAGTGACTCCGTCCCCGCTCCCTGGCCAGTTGTCCCCTCTGCTGGGTCAGGGCTCAGGGCGGAGCCTGGCTCTGAGCGTCCCATCGGCACCGAGCCCCCGTGAGGGTCTGGCTGGGGGTGGGGCTGGGAACGGGGGACGCTGAGCCGGGCCCCTCACCTCTCACCACCAGCTCCACGGGGTCGCTGGGGTACGACACGGCGAACGGCTCCGATCTGCTGTGATAGGAGCAGCTGTAGCTCCCGCCGTCCTCCCGGCGCACGTTGCTGATGGGAAACTCAGCCTCAAACCCGTCCGAATCCACAGGTGGGAAATGGCGTCGCTCTTTATTCAGCACGAACCGCACGCCCCGGCGCTGCCCCTGACACCGGACGGTCACAGCTCCCCCGAGGGAGACCCCCCCGCTGGGTCTCAGGGAGATGCTGGGTTTGGGGTAGCTGGGCTCTGCAGTGGGAAGCAGACAGGCAGTGAGACGCAGGCCCCGTCACTCTGTCCTGGGGCCCGGCCTCACCACACGGCCTCAGTGGTGGGTCAGACCCAGCGGCCCTGGGGATGGGCTCCTGGATGCCTCTCCACAGGGGCCAGAGTTTCCTCTGAGCCCTGGGCTAACAGCATGAGACACGGAGCAACCCCAGCCCATGGGGGCCCAGAGCTCTGCTCCCTAGCAGGTGACAGGCCAGGCCAGTCTCCAGGGTCCATTCACTCCTTGGCTTCTCTGCTGCAAGGCCTGGGAGCCAAGACTCCTGGGTTCTGTCCCCGGCTCTGGGAGGGGAGTGGGGGCTAGTGGGGAGAGCAGGGAGGATGGGGGCCAGCACTCCTGGGTTCTCTGCACAGCACCACCCCTGACTTGTAGGGGACTATGCAAGTCGCTACTATCCACTGAGGTTTATAACCTTCAGCTCCTAACTGATGTGCTGCCTGGGAAAGGCCCCCCCTGCTCTGCAGCTCCCCCTGGGGGCAGGGGTCCCCCCCTCACCCCTGAATCTCCAGGGGCTGCTGCTCCCCCCTGGCTGGGAACCCCCCCAGTGACTCCGTCCCCGCTCCCTGGCCGGGCGTCCCCTCTACTGGGCCGAGGGATCAGGGCAGAGCCTGGCTCTGAGCATCCCATTGGTGCAGAGACCCTCTGAGGGTCTGGCTGGGTGTGGGGCTGGGAGCGGGGACACTGAGCCGGGCCTCTCCTTCACCTCCTACAATGATCTCGATGGGGTTGCTGGGATATGACCAGCGATTCTGTGCCGTTATGGGTTGATATTCGCAGGTGTAATTCCCTCCATCTTCCCGGCTGACACTGGCGATGGGAAATTCAGGCATGGTCCCATAAGGCACCGACTGCGCCTGCGGGTTCGGGTGTCCAGCTTTACGCAGAAAGAACTCCGTGCCTGGGTACCAACCCCCACAGCGGATGGTGACGCTTCCCCCCAGCGCCACAATCCTGCTGGGGCTCACCGAGATGGTGGGTTGGGGGTATTGCCCTGCTTTCAACAAGAGACAGGAGTTAAACAGGGGAGACACAGGCCCCGCCTCCCCCCACCCCAATTCAGTCCATCCATCATTCAGTCTCTCTTTGAGTCTGTCCTTACCAGGGCTGACACTGCTGCCCATGGGGCTTGGGGGCAGGGGGTTCACCCAGACGTAGCTCAGGACCCAGCTGCATGAGAGATCACCTGCTGCCCCACAGCCCCACCTGAGGCCAGCCAGGGAGCCTGAGCCCTGAGCCCCCTGCAGCTCTGCCCCCCGCCCCGGGGTTGGAAATAGAGTCTGTGACTGACGGGAGTCGCACAAGACCCAACTTTCCCCAGGCCTTGGGAACGGGGGGCTGTGAGTGCAGGGAAGGGAGCTGTTGGGGGTGGATCTAGGGATGGGGGTGGATCTGGTGGGTTCTTCCCACTGCTGCACTGACTGGGAACGTTTCGGTTCCCCAAGGGGATCTAAAGCCCACGGACGGGCCCTGTTAGTGTTTGTATGAGCTGAAATAAATCCACCTGCCGCCCCCAATGCCTGATCCTCACAGCCTGTGGGGGGGCAGGACAATGAACCAGGGGACGGTTCCTGTCTGCTTCATCAGACCCCGGGAGCCAGATTCAGCTCCTAGTTACTCGGGGGGGGGGGGGGGGGGGTGGGGGGCTGAGAAGAACGGGGCTGGGGCTGAGCTCACAGAGGGAGTTTGAGTTGAGTTTTGGGGAAGGTTCAGGGCTCAGTTCCTCTTTCCCCCACCCCATGCATCCCCTCCCCCGTCCTTGATGTTACCGTCCTCCCCACAGATACTCACATCCCCACGTCCCGCTGTGCCTGGCCAGCCAGCAGCCTGGAGAGGAGACGGCTCGTTAGTGACCAGATCCCAGAGCAATTGGATCCTACACCCTGGTGTGAGATCCTCACCCCCCATGGGCACACGCCCTGGTCTCAGATCCCCCGCATGGGCACACGCCCTGGCTGTCTCCGATACTCACCGAGGAGGAGGACGGTGAGAGCAGATGCCATGACAGGCAGTGAGGGGCCCCTCAGAGCTGCCACCAACGCCCTAGAGCCAAGCTCCACGCAGCTTGAGGCCCGAGTGCGAGCGGAATGAGGAACTGTGCTGGGGGCTGCAGCCCCAGGAAGCCTTTGATGCGCTCGGCCCCTTTCTTCCCCATCAGATGGTTTCTCTGCAATCTCCAGGCCAAAAATACCACAGTCAGAGCAAAGCCAGCTCCCTGCAATGCCCAGCAAACCACATCCCCTCCTGCAGCTGCCTGGTCCTCCCACTGCCCATCACCTCCCAGCCCCACATGGGAGCTGCCCAGTCCGGAGACCAGCTGGGAATGGGGCAATTTCAGGAGGTGTCAAGAGGTGCCCAGGCTGCCCTGACCTTTCCCAACAGGACCGTCTAGCCTCCCTGGAGAAGCAGCTCACACACACAGAGCCCCCCATGGAGTGACCTTCTCCCATGGAGTGGGGCAGAGGTTCCTTCCTGACCCAGCAGGGCCCAGCACCCGCCCTGGAGCATGAGGGTGGAGGGGCCTGGCCAACCTCCTTCTCAGGTACCGTCGCTGCAGACGCTGTTCTTAGCTGAGTGATGTGGCACAGAGACAGGACGGGGGTGGGGGTTGTGGTTTCTGGCCCCCGTGAGTAGGGGAGGGAGGGATAAATGTAGATCCTGAGTTGTTAAAGGAGCAGTGGATAAATCTGTGAAAGGGGAAGTCTGCCCAGAGTCAGCGCTCACTTCCTGTTTCTGCTACTGCCAGTGAAACTCTGTGCAAACCTGATGCCCCAGCAGCTACCCTGTTATATATCCCGGCCCTGGGAGGGGAGGGGAGTCTAGCGATTGGGGTGTGGGGGTGACTGGGAGCCAGGACTCCTGGGTTCTCTCCCTGGCTCTGGTTGGGGGGTGGGGTCTAGTGGTTAGAGAAAAGGACACAGATTAGAGCCAGCCCCCTAGATGTGAAAGGCCCCGTGTCCCTTCCCCAGCCGATCCCCGGGGCAGCAGGTCTGCGCAGCTTAGGGCCCTGGGTAGAGCGCACCTCAGGATGCTGTGAAAGAGACATGCAGGGGGGAGCTGACCAGCCCCCCAGAAAGGGGAGGGGGCAAGAACACAGGGACAGAGCTCAAGAGAATCCCCCCCCCCCCCCCCGGCAAATGCCCCAGCTCTGACTTCCCGGCCCCTTTGCCCTTCACCCCCCACCCCCGACATTCATGCATTGGACCCCTCCTCTCCCTGTCCTGCGTCCCCTCCCCCATTCACATCCCCCCAAACCCACCCCTGTCCCTGTCTCCCCAATTCTGCCCCCTGTCCCTTCCCCCTCTTTGTGTCCCCTCATGCCTCCATCCCCTCCCCCATTCTACCCACCCCATCCCCTATCCCCTCACACCCCAGGCCTCCCTCAGAGAATATGGGATAGAGGGGGATATGGGGTGTTGTGGGGGCAGGAGACTGAGGGGATAGAAAGTGGGGGACCCAGGACTGAGGGGGCAGGAGTAGGAGGAGGGGCAGTGAAAGGGGAAGCTGCCAAGGGGTGGAAATGGCAGCTCCATCCTGGGGGGCACCGTCTTCCCCCTCCCCCGTCACGCCCCCAAAAATCCTGCCCCCCAGCTCTGACCTTTGGGGGGAGCCTGTCTGCCCTCAAACTCCTGTCCCCCATCCCGACCCCTCTGCCCTCAATCCCCCTCCCAACATCCCCAACCTACTTCCCTCAAACTCCCGTCTCCCCCCAGCCAGCTCTCCCCAACTGGCTCCGCCAAAACACCTGCCATGGGGGGGCCCAGAAGCGCCGGCGGCTAAATCAGTCTGCGCCCTGTTGTGTTCATAGAGACACAATAAAGAGCCCAAAGTGCGAACACGCCCCAGCCCCTGCCCCACACTGAACAGGGTTAAACACAGGCTGGGAGCGGGGTCCAGAGCCGGCAGCCAGCCCCACGGCAACCCCCCCATTAACCCCTGGGACCGGCTGTTACAGACCCAGCAGAGCAGGAACCAGGGGAGCCGTGGCAGGTGCTGTGTGAAATGAGGGGTTTGTTTGCTGGAGCGAGTCTCTAACCGGAAAATCCCCCGGGTTTGGATGTAGGGTGACCAGACGTCCCGATAAAATCGGGACTGTCCCGATTTTTAGCTCTTTGTCCCGCGTCAGTGCTCGGCTTTTTTTTTTTGCTCGGCCGGCAGCAAAAAAAAAAAACTCGTTTACTCGTTTTTGTTTTTGCCCCCACCCCCCGGTGTCCCGATATTTTCTGGTCACCCTATTTGGGTGTCTCCCTGCCAGCAGCATGAACACAGCCCGCTGTTCTGGCGCCACAGCGGCCCCTGGTGGGGAAAAGGTGTAACTGCAGCACTTCTGGGGCAGAATGTATTTTCTGTGGGGAAAAAAATTCTCTGCCTGCCCCGTGCTGCAGAATTCCCCCAGGAGCAGAAGTTCATCACAGCACTTGCCGCAGAGCCTGGTTAGGGCAGAGTGGGGCACCCAGGGCTGCTGGGGGGGTCACAGAGTGGGGCTCAGAATGGCTAGTTGGGGGGACAGACTGGGGCCTGGGCTCAGGAGCTAGTGGGGTGACAGCGTTGAGTCTGGGGATGGGGGAGGAGGCTGCAGGGACACATGGGGACGGGGGTTTGCGGGGACAGGATCAGATGTGCCTGACTGAATGGGAGAGGCTTAAGGTCAGCCAGGGTCTGCATGGAGGAGGCTTCCCAGCTCCCTAATAACACCCCCTCAAAACCTTCTCCCGCCCACACCCAACACCTTCCAGGTTCATTCCCAGGCTCCTTCCCTCTCCCTCAGCTCCCCCGTTACCCCTGACTCCCCCAAGCCTTTGCACGGCTTCTGTCGGGTGCCAGAATACAGTTCTGTCGTGTGATTTAAATGAATTACTCAAAGTTCCGTGTCAATATGCCTAGTGAGGAATCTATTTGTAATTTTTTTTTTACCAAATTTTTTTTTGGTCTGTATTGTTACAGACACACTCGCTGACAGATATTTTGAAATAAATGACCAAAGTAATTGAAACTGGCAGGATTATATTGTTTTATTTTGACAAATAAAATATGCAGAATTTTCAAATATTATGTGCACGTTTTATAAATTTTTGGCGCAGAATTCCCCAGGAGTAAGTAGACCAGGAACCAGGGGAGCCGTGGCAGGCGCCGTGTGAAACGAGGGGTTTGTTCCAGCCCCGGTCCCGTTCGCTGGAGCGAGTCCCTAGCTGCAAAATCCCCCAGGTTTGGGCATCTCCCCGCTGGCCCCGGAGACGCTAGCGACTGTCCTGGGGGGCAGAGGAGTGACAGGGAAGGGAGCGGCCACCAGGGGGTGACAGAGTGATTCCCCCACCAGAGAATGGGCTCTGCTTATAGACCCCCCCCATACCTTCCCTGCAGCTGGTGCCACCCCCTTCTCTTCTCCCCTCCCCATTTCTACCCTCCCTTCCCTCTGCCCAACCTCCGCCCCCTCCCTCCATCCCACTGTCCCCCTGCAGGGGACTCCCCCCCAGGTTCACACTATGGGGGTGAGGGGAGGGCACCCCCTGCACCCCAGGGGCTCTGCCCGACAGGCCCCTGGCTCACGTTGATCACGGTGTACAGGACAGGTTCCTGGTGGGCTGGGCCCCTCGCTTGGCCTGCAGCGCCTGGCGGTTCAGCTCAGCGTAGGTGAGTCCGTCGGCGCCAGGGTCGGCCTCCTGGGGCTGGTAGGGGAGAGAGTCACCGGTGTGTGTGTGTGTGTGTGTGTGCACACCAATCCCCCCAACACACAGACAGAGCCACACTGCACACACACACACGCAGATTTGCACGGACACACACAGGTGAACTTACACCAAGGTAGTGCCCCCCGCCCCACCCCCTAGCAGGAGCTGATATACACAGCAGCAGAGTGTAATCTCTGCAAATCTCAGACAAATGAAAACGTTTGGGGGGAAGGTTTGGGGGGTCGGGGGAGCCTGGGGTGGGGGTGAGTTTGCAGGGTGCAGGGTCAGGCTCTTACTCTGTGTTCTGGGTCTCCTGCCCCTCTCCTCTCTCTGCCCGGATCCTGGGGGGGGAGCCCTGTTGCTGATCCCATAGGTGCCGACTCTGTGGTTGCTCTGGGGCTGGAGCACCCACGGGTACAAATTAGTGGGTGCTCTGCAGCCACCGGCAGCCAAGC